TCAAGCCGTGTGGTTTGAAATGTTTCCATATTTGCAATGCTTCCATTTAAACTCTTTGTCGAAAAACAGTTTTTTGTTCAGAATTGCTTGTTTACGAAACGGTTGTCTTAAGTTGAAATCATAGGGATGCCGTTTTCTTCCGTTTCTCAATTATTGATTATTAATGATTGATTTTATACTTGAAAATCCATCAAAGTATGTATGCAATACTTCTACAGATCGTCTTTTAAAGTAGAAAACCGCGCATCAAGAAAATGCAAAACCTGGTATGTGAGGTTGCCTAAATTTTATAGGAGAGAGTGAGACTTGTCCTAATTAAAAACGGTTCTCTCTTTTAAACTTAATAATCTCTTCTCCTTATATCTAAGTATCAATATTTTATTATAAATGGCTAAGGGCTTGATGCCAGGACCTTCCGGTGACCAAATATATTTTTTGGCACAAATTTCGGTTTCGAGGTTTTGCAGAACCACGATACGCGCTTGTGTACTTTAAACGACGATATACATATTGGCGCTTACACATATGTTAGTTTGGCCTAGCTTCTCCTCCGATATGTGGCGTGCGTGATTTTGTCACACNTTTGTAATAAAACAGTCTTCTCGCTCTCACACAAAAAGTCGGCTCCTTTACTTGTGCAGAATGTTGGTCACTCTGCAGCTTCTAGTTATATTAGTAGTAAAATCAAAAATTCTTCATACTAAATATTCGTTGGCATCACCTTCGTTTGCGTAATTTTCTGGCACAAGTCTAGAATAGCGACCGTTTCACTATAAAATAATCAAAACCGCCGATTGATAGAACTTTTTACGCCGGTTTCAACGATAACAAATTCATTTGGCGCAGTTAAAAAATAAAGAAGATTGAGCATTACACATTTTCTTTAAAACAAATAAAATTGTTCAACATAGAAAAGCATGCGTGAAAAAATTCAATTTAAAACTTAAACATTTTTCCTTGAATTAATTAAAAAAGTTGCAATTTAGATGAAGCTTTGCAGAATTTTCATAACCTTTGCACAAACTTTGAAACTTGGATTTATATGGTTAAAAAATAAACATTAAATAAACAAACGAAAAATAGAAAAAATGTTTCCACCACCTTACATGTTAGTATTTGAATTTGATCTCAGTAACAAAGACTTTAATGTTTATATTATAGATTTGTCATATGTTTGTAATTTTTGTATCCCTAATCATGAAAAATTTAACCATTTGAACCGAACCCAACCGAACTGCGGAATAGTCATGAACCGGTTCTTGTACCGGTACAAGCTTTTTATAGGTGGTTCGAACCACTGAACCGAACCGACCGATTTTTCGAGTGGTTTCCAGCCCTGGTATATCTGCCACGAAAAACGATCGCCGTTCGGAGTCAACTTGTGTAACAAGATCCAGGCGCACGCCTGGTGAGTACCTATTTTTCAATTTTTTTTTATATTATATACGCAGGGTTGGGGTGAAGCATAACACAGCACACAGGATATCCTGGCCACTTCAAGGGGCCATAATGCCAATTAAACTAATCCAATGATCACCAAAACCTGCACAAAACGCACCATCTAGGCACGAGCAGCGGCGAATGCTTCCTTCCGTCAGGGCTCGCCAGAAGGGCAACGCTGCTGGAGGACCAGGTTCTGGCTTTGGAAACCGAAGAGGACGATTGTAGTTATAGCCACCGGCGCGGGTTAAGACCTGAAATCAATGAGCAATACATACTCCGGCCGCAGGATTTCTCTTTAGAGGGGGGTTTATGTAAAGTCATTCGCAACAACCAAGAATATCATTTAGGAGATTCCTTTAAACTCGTTAAGTCTTAACCTGTGTAAAACTCGTAATTTTACGAGGCTGTTACGGGAACGCCCCCTTTTTGCAAATGTGTAAATAGGTGCGTAAAGTGACTGTTTGACAGGTAGAAACGAGTTTTGTGAATACATTTTTGTTTCGTAGTATTTTTCATAACAGCCCGTCAGCTCGAATGAAAGCTAAAATATAATTAAAATTGCGAGAATGAAGAAAACCCATGTTAATAAAGTTGGTGGATGAAATTTATTAATTTTATTCACCTATTATTTTTTTCATTTGTTTTCAGTATTTTAACATACATTTTAGTATAAAATTTTCGGCCCCTCGGCAACACTGAAGTTTATGACGTCGTTTGTGCAACAAATTTAATTTACGAGGGGCTCGTAAAGAGTAATTTACCAGCTTTACGAGGTTTACGAGCAGCATTGCCGCGAGCTTGAAATAAATAGTACCAGTTGCCAAGCAGAAATATGAAAAGCAAACACAACTGTTATTTTTTAAACTTTTATTTGAAAAACAAATTATGATTAAAGTTTTATAATCAAATCCATAGTTATAACAACTAGCTTTAACAAAAATAGAGAATCTATATGCTTATTTGCATGATGGAAAACAAACTTTTAGAGCCCCTAAACCACACAAAATCCTTGCGCAACCCGAGACTTGTAAAAGTCAATATTGTGGAAATTACTACATAATAAAATTGTGCAAACCTTATTTTGGAGAAATGCTGCTTAAGTAAATATGTGCGCAGTTTTCGCCGTACGCAGCAAAAGTTATTATACAACAACAAAATCATGAGCAAAATATCAAAATGATTTTGATTTTAGCGCAATAACTGTGCACTTTAATACAAACAACAACACAACAACAATAGATATTGCGAAATGTTTTTGTGTGGTTTAGGGGCCCTATAACAGCAGCGTGTGTAAAAAAATTCCGGGTTGTATTTCCCTAACAAGAGTAACCAAATCAAACTTATAAATATCTACATGTAAAATTTTTAGATTTTAAATAACAAGAACAAAATTATTTGCGTTAAAACTAGTAATATTATTCATAGCTTTCAAATTAATTTCTGCCAGCCAAAAGTATCAAAATGGGGCATTTGTGAACAAAAAAGTACCGAAGTATCAAATTTTAAAACTTAGAAAAAAAAGTGTCAAAAATGATACAATTGTTTTAAAACGGCAACGCTGTTTACGAGGCTTTTACGAGTTTAAGGGAAGATCCCTATTGTTTTATTTCGAGTATTCAGCATATTGTATTTAATTATGGATATTATTCACCACAATGCAAAGAAAAATCTCATGATGCATTATTTACTAAATTATTCTGCTTTCAATAATGCAATTCGCCAAGGTACAGATACAATTTCTTTTAATACTGAGTCGACATTAACATCCAGATTGCGATGAATATTGAGAGAAGCTAGCACATTGCGACGATCTTCTTTCAGAGTTGATCTAAAATAAGTTTTTAGTAGGCAGCGCAAAGCAGAAAACGTACAATCTATCAAACTAATCGCCTTTATTAAAAAAGGCGTTCATGACGAAAACTAATCAATTCGGAATATATTCGACTCCTGTATGAATTTTCATAATCTGACAATCCATATCATGATTCCAGAAAATTATAAAGAATTATAAAATTATTAGCACCAATAGCTGACACCTCGAAAATACAAATAAGCCACAATACAAGCTAGTGTATTTTTTTTTTAATTTTGCATGTTTCAAAAATTAAAAAATAAGCATTCAAAGCCTAAAAAAAAAATCGTTGAATGTGCAAATATGAAACGTAGTTTTCATATTAGTTGAAAACTTAAATCCTAAAGTGCACGCAATCCTTTCATCGTAAGGCGTCAAAATCCAATGCATACTATATATAATATCTTTTCAAACACAATATTTGACTGGATTTTTTTTTTTTTATACATTTATTGGTTTCCTGTGAAAACTTTTTTCTCGAAGTTTTGGGGCTGTGAAAAAGAAAAGTTGGGCATTTTTCTCAAACCCACTATGTTGTGATAAAGGATATCTTTGTCTTAAACTCACAATAATTTACCAAATGATTACTAGCTAGATGTTAAAGGAAAAGTCTTTGATGATCGATAATCGCTTAAAATGATATAATGAAACTATAAAGTGAATTAAATAAATTTACAATGACATTGAATTTTTCATTTTCACAATTTCATAAAACAAGAATTGACCCCCTGAATATTGGTATGATTTTCTAATAAGGAACTAACACTTTGGTTATGTAGACGTAAGTGTGTTAATTGAAATACCGCCACATACCAAACCTAAGATACTACACATTTGTGCTCTTTGATGCCTAAAATATATCCATATTACTTTACATTAAATTTGTTAAAGTAAATCGAGCAAAAAGGTCTGAAATTTTAGTTTTTATTCATAAGGCTCATGGACGTTTCCAGCGGAAGGTCATAGTACGACATAGAAATGCTGAAGTCAAAATAAAAAAAATATTTTCGACATAAAATTCATGTTTTACATATTTGCGTTAAAAATTAGTTTAAACACAATATTAACAAACATATTTCAATGGAAATTTCAGTAACGTAACGTCATGCAACGTCACATCAGACACTTCGGGTCATAAAAAGAAAGCAGGAAAGATTTTTACTCTTTGGAACTCGGAAAATTAACCTTAAATATTTCAAATATTACTACAAAACTTTTTATAACAGTAAGCTTGCCTAATTCCCGAGTTTTTAAATGTTGATGTTGTCATACAAATGTCACGCTACGCTAGATTGAAAATGCCCATATACACTTTTCCTTAAGCACATTAAAACGAATTTAATAAAAGACAATGATTTTTAATATAATGTACAATATTGCATTAATTACATGTGTACATTAACTTTGTAGTGTACATTTACGATTAGATACGATTCAAGGGTTCTGGTACTCGATTCCAAAAAATACTGTCTGAAAACTATTGAGTAACAAGTAATTTTTAGCAAAAAAAACCGACTTCAATTCTCATAAAAAAATATATATATATCTCATGATCCAACGATCGGATCTAAACCGGATTAGTGTGAGACCACCACTGAGACACTACCTTTCCGATGCAAGAACAATTATCGAAATCGGTTGACGTGGTCCAAAGTTATGCGATAACATACACAAAAAAAATATATATAAATATATATTCCGACGAACTGATAACCTCCTCCTTTTTTGAAGTCGGTTAAAAAGAGTTTTTTATTGGGAGCGGGAGCAGAGCTCGGAGCGAAATAAAATACCGGAGCGGAGCGATGAAAAAACCTTTGCTCCGAAGCCCCCGATGCAAAGGCTATCGAGTCGAGGGCCGAAAGAAACAAGAATTCTTTCGATAATACACATGTCCTTTGAAATTTTAGAGATGAAGCCGTGAAGGAGTGTCTTAAATGAAAAAAAGAAACAAACCAGTGTTTAAGACTTTTTTGAAATAAATTAGTTTTAAATTATGAAAATGTTTGAATGGAATATGATATTATATTTTAAATAAAATGTGTTCTTTAGTGAATGAATCCACTTAAAGGCTCTTTAAATTCCTTGAAGATATTGTTTTGAGTTTTATCTTCAGTTCAAATTTCTGTATTATCATCACTTGCTTCACTATATCCGAACTGTGGATTTGGTTTACGAAGACAAAGCGAACATGTGGTGCGAAATAGTGACTTCTAAATTTAAACGTATACTCGGTACAGGCAGGTGGGATGAATGGCGCAATAAATAGTAGGTAAAGTAATAAAACAGCCAGCTTTCTCGCTTTATTTTCTGACATTCGGCTGCTTTATAGTCAAATTTTATAAGCAAATTTTCAAATAAAGCAGTGTCAAAATTTTTCTTCTCACTCTAATATTACTTCCCCTGGTAAAATTCTACCTGGTAAAATTCCACCATACGCAATAATTCATTGGACATTAAAAAGCGGTTTTAAGTGAACTAGTATCATTTTATTATTATTCTTTCTTCTAAACGGTTATAATGCCACCAGTGCATAATTGCGAAAGGAGGGGAGGGGGGGGAGGACGCGAGCGCGAACGCCGACCGCCGACCGCCGCGACGCTGGGCACTTTCAAAATTGTATACTTACAAATCCGTCAATTTAACTTGTTCATGTACTACTTTTTGTCAAATGTAACTGGGGACTACCTATGTATGTGCACTATTTTGCTTTATTACTCAATTTTTAAGTTAAAAAGTGCGTCTTCCCTGCAAAAATCGCGACTACTCCATGCATGCGTGTAAAGAGTACTCCCTAAGGACCAAGGAGTACTCCAAAATTAACCACAATTCATATAACAAATATGGTCCAATTAACATTGCGATGTCCTAGTGCAGGACCATATACTCCATCCTTTCATTACATCAGAGTAGCACAAAACTACTCCATCATATTAACAATGGCGAATGGCTTATGGTGAAAAGGGGTAGATAATGGGAAAGGGGGTGTGCCACCGCCCATACGAACTGAAATTCTCTTATCGGTCATCTCTGTAAGGACCTATGCTAACGCCCTGAAATTTGACACAGCAGCATATGTTTTCAATACCGTACTTACGGCGAAAAGTGATAGATTTTGGAAAAGGGGGCGTGGCACCGCCCATAAAAACTGCAATTCTCATATCGCTTATTAGCATTAATCAATCCGGCATTAACGTTCATAATTCGATTATAAGTTTTCCTGTAAATTCGCCATAAATTATGCTGATGGACGTCAAAATAGTAATTCGCATAAAGGATTTAGTATTGGTGACAGGTTAAATTCAAAAGTGTATGAAAAAAGTTGTCGAATTTCGACAACTGGGCGACACTAGTTTATATAAACTCTCATATAATATTTTTATTAAATTCACATCTATGCATATAAAAACAACAATAAAAATAATAACAAAAGTATGTGTATGCATGGGAATTTTTCAAATGACAATTTTAACGTAACCGCCACAACAAGTTTTTTTAGGGGCTGCCAAAATAACAACAAAAAACCCCCGTCTCCTGTTAAATTCAGTATTTGTCGTTTATGTTATTTTGGCGGCTCTTTGAGCCAAATGCGCCCCTTTGCTTAGCAAAGTGCGGCTCTTTATACTTTCTCTTTGCTTAGAACATTTTGGTTCTTTGTGAAAAATAATATTTCTCAGTCCCATAGAATTTGTTTTGATAAATTTTGATTTTGAAATTTTTGCAAAAGTCATTATAAACAATTTATGAGATTGAAAATGAAAAGCGTGGGGCGCATGTAATAGATTTGAATTGATATGAAAAGTAATATATGTATGTACATTAGAGTGCCCATCGAAAATGCTTTTTTTTGGAAATTTCAAGACCCTACCCCCTAATTTTGTTCCTTTCTATGAGAAATATAATTGCCAATTTTGTAAATTTTTGAAGGCCGTTTAGAGGTCGCGACCTGTCGATTTATGTCAGAAAATGGGATTTTGTAGATTTATGGGTTATTGAATGACTACTTTTGATTCGATTTCAAAGATCGAATATGGTCTGAGAAGAGGATAGCGGATAGAGGAGGCCTTCAAAATGGTATATAATGATCTATTATTGGACTTGGCTTGTTGGGATTTTTTATTGGGTAACAAAAAAAACATATTTCTCATAATTTTTTTATATTTTAACCATCGATAACTTTCACCATTTCAAAATATTTAGTACTATTTAAAAGTAAATTTATTTTCAAACAAACTGATACCTCATTTATTGAAATCGCATAAAAATTGTCGAAGTTAAATACAGCCTTGAAATTATATGTTTGTGTACTGTATTTTTATATATTTGCGCAGTGTGGCTAAGAAATTCATCAATACTTACTCAACATTTATATATACCATGGTTATTTAGCAAAAATTAGGTTTTTTAGAAAATTTTAGCAAAACAGGCGTGGCACCGCCCACTTATATCATATATGTGTATCTCTACTACTTCACCGATCTCGACCAAATTTGGTATACACACTGATCTGCCCATCCTTAAGCACCATACTGAAAATTTTTCTATTCGGATAGAAATCGCTGCCCTTTGAGTGAAATTAAAGGAAGAAATTTAATTTTTTCATACATCTTTTTATTTAAATTTGAAAATCACTTTAGATAGAATGTAAACAATTAATTTTAAACGAAAGAGTCCTAATCAATAATGAGTCCTTGAATGAGTGTATTTTTTTTTTTTGAGTTTGGAAATTGTAGACGATGGTATTCTACAACTTGGAGAAGAAACTGTTTTTGGTCTTCCTGATTCGTTAAAATTGAATTGTAATTTTCAATCAACGCAATTCCACGTTCAGCTGCGTCATTTACAACATTTAATTTCTGAATTTTATTTTGTGCTTTGAGGTAGTTCGGATCTTCACACCATAAACTAGATTTTTTTTTTTCACAAAGTCTTCTGAAACATTCATTGCTTTAAAAAAATTTAAAGTATTTTGCGTCACAAAGTCTGGTAGTTCTTGCTTTAGAATTAAATTTTTATTTATTTTTATCGTTCGGCCAGGTGCGTCTAACCCCTTTTTTGTCAAAGCTAATACCATGGCTCCTTTTATTTCATCTGGCACAGAAGGTTCAAAAAATGCCAGTCCGACTAATTTCTCACTTAAATACCAAGAATGTCGAGACATGCTGTTAAATGCTACTTCCGCGACTTTACAGTTGATGTGTTTGTATTCTATAAGTTCCTTTAGTAATTTCAGATCATTGAACGGAGCTAACTTAGGCTTAGGACATGCATACCAATTTTTCAAATATATTCGAACTGTAAAAATGTTGAATTGACGCAAAGAGTTAAGTTCTCTACTAGTTAAGACGAACTGATTCCGGAATAAATAAATTTTTAAACAGTAAATTATCTTTGCCATCCACCTTGCTCGATGAACAGCTCCAGGAGCCATGATAGGAATAATTTTATGAGAATCTTTACCTAAAAAGAGCAATGCCAGTAGGAGGAGCTCTTTGTAATTACCTCTTGGCTGGACACTTTCCATTTGGTTATATCTGATTAATAATATTAGGATCTTCTAATGCAGATTTGTATACAAATTTAGAAATATTTTTCCAGTTAGTTTTAAATCTTTCAAAGGGCTTAATATTGGGCCCAGTGGAAGGTTCAAAAAGAGTATTAAATACTGCACCAACTGGTAACTCCATTATATGATGTCTGCAAGCTAAAGGAAGAAGGGCTTTTTTTAATTTATTTTCCAGCAAAGTACACGCTCCTTTATCTAAACCACTGTTGCTTGAAGTAGTACCAAAACACATTGCTACTGTGCGATCTGCTATATTCCAGCCTTATGGTAGTTCGTAAACTGCTTGTGCTTGAGCTTCACCAGTTCCATTGTTAATAGCTGGTGCACCTAAAAGTTTCGTAACGTTTTCTCCTGATACAATCACAGCTAGTCGATCAACGTTCTCCTTTGACATTAATGTTGGCAGCAATTTTCCATCCCAATCGCCTGTAAATAATGTGTCAGGATTAAAATCCTTTTTTAATATATTTGAAATCTCTTCCCGATATTTTATTCTTTTAAGTCTTATGGATTCTGCATTGCAGCAGATATTCTGCAAATTACACTGCAAAGCATGGCATATTGCAGCTAAAATGAATGCAGCATTTCTATTGGAAACTTTTGCTCGATCCAAAGCAGCACATACATCATCCGTCATTAAATAAATTTTATTATTTTTGTTTGGTAAAACTTTAAAATTATGTTCTTCAAACAGGGTATCCTCATTTTTTTACACATAGTCCTGAACAGGCGATTGAGGGAATTCACTTTCAATTCTTTTACGTTTGTTACTCTGCTTTGTTGTCATTTCTAGTTTTATAGTTGCATCTTCATTGTTGTTATGCGCTATTTGATTATTTTTGGCAGAAGCTATGTCAAACATATGGTCCAATTTATCGATAAAAATATGTCGAGCTTTCACTAGGTATTCTGTCCTTTTGTTTCTATTTTTTAATAAATTTTGCCATTCTGCGTGCAGTTTTCTTTCCTTCGAAATTATATTCCGTTCATCTGCATATAACATGTTATTCTTTTTCCAAAACTCAACAACTTCAGAAGATATTAATCGAGCACTGTATTGTAAATTTTTTTTATTTTTAATATGCTCATGAAGAAGCCGACTTAAAACCTGTTTATTTGTTGGAAAAACAAAATTAGTCATATTTTCTGAGGACCTTCCGATAAGCCATAAATCGTTCACTTGGTTGTTGTTTGGCATTGTCTTTTAACAGAAAATAATTATATTATATAACCTAACCGTACTTTAAATTATAAGTGTTTTCTAAATATGCAATACGCATTAAATAACATTACTTACATCGAAGAACGTGTTACTAACTTTGTACCCAAAAATAAACAATACTCAAACAAAGAAAAGAATTAAATT